TTCACTCCGTTGACCAGTATGTGTCTTCTGGTTCTCCTGAGAGAGAAGAATCATTGCCTCCAGTGTCGAATCTGCCTGTTGAAACATCTCAATTGACATTCTCTCCGTTCCTGGAGATCTGTTTTTCATCAATGCCTTCGGTTTAGTGGTATAGATTTCTACTTCAGAGTATTGTGTATCATTAGAAAAACAGTATTTCTCCTTAAACTTTGTGTGTCTTACTTTATTAGATGTTGGTATCATTCACCAATCAGGAATGATGACAGACGAAGAGAACCCAATAATCAGCAAGAAGAAAACAAACATTAAAATGTAAAAGATCTTCTGGAACCATGAAAAAATAAGATCATTTGGGACTAATGTAAAATGTGGTCATATAGAAAGTTTATTAGAAAATGAATTTGGGTTATGATGATTTTATAACTATGGTGACCCTTTGATATCAGGTTGACCTGCATTATGAAATGGTCTTTCATATTATAATCAACAGTCAATGGTTTTAGAATGAGGTAAGATGTCGCACAACTTAGGGATATACAATAACTCCCCATAAAATTATAAAATTTCTCTGAATCTCACACAGAGGCCACACATTCTGTGCTAACTTAGGCTCTGAGTTCCTCCTTCTCCTGAATTAGGAAGGTAATACACCATCACACTATCCCATGAACACTCTCCCTAACTGTATCACATTAATCTGTAAATGGAACGACTCTCTCCTTCCTCCCAAATTTCTATCTATTTCAAATGTAGAGAAAATTTGATGATCTCTATTGATCTCTCTTTTCTATAGTGCTAATTACTAAATTACTTGGATTTTCCTTATTCAACCTCTTAAGGCTTAACATTTATTTCCTGAGTCATTCTGTTCCATGCTAAAATTACATATTGTGTTTGATTGGATTCTCTAAAGAAGCAAAAATAGTGATGCTTGGATATACATAGAGAGAAATTGATATCAATAAATGGCTTACATAGTTATAAAAGTAGGTAAATTCAATCTGGTTCAAGTCCGTAGGTCAGCTGTAAGCTGGGGGCCTCTCCAGCCTTGAGTAGCTATAGGAACTGATAAACAGGAAGAAGGAAGACAAAGCAGGATGGCCAGACTGAATGAATTCAAAGTTGGCCTAACGAGTCCAAGCTTGGCAGTCTACTGAGGGCTCCTGGGATCAGTAAGTGACACAAGAGACTGACTAACCAGGCGCAGGACCCTGATCCAGCAGAAGGCAAGGGGGCCAGAAAAGAGCTGTGCATGTTGACTCACTAAGTCCTGCAGCTGAATAGTCATCTCACATACTTTGGATATATTATCCAGAGGGATGATCCCTGAGGAAGGACATTGTGCTTGCTGTCATATATATATGAAATACAAGAGGATAACTTTTTTAAAAGTTTATTCTCACAGTTACGATGGTAGAAGTTAAAATTCAGGGTGCCATTCTAATCAAAGACATTCTCTCTCTGTTTACTTTGGGGAAAAGGCTTTATCTCATCAACCTCTGCAGTCATGGCACCCCTTGAAGATCATCTTGAGCCTTCTCATTAATTTCTTCTGGGTCTAGGAGATTTAGTGCAGGGGCCCTGAGCCCCAGTCTAAAGGACATGCTCAACTCCGATCTTTTTTCTAGTGGTATCTAGGTCCTCTCTCTGCGTTGTTCTACCTCCTTTTATCTCTTGTAAGATAAAAGTTGATGTAGGCTACAAGCTGGGACATTCTCATTACATTGCATCAGGGCTGTGACTGAGTACTATTGCATCCCACCCTAATTTTCAAAACTGATTGATCACATCAGATAATATAAAAGGAATGAAGGATGGTTATATTATTATATAAATTTCAAACTTGATCATTACAGAACTGGCAACCCACTGAGCATCAAGACTAAACCAAATGCAAACATCTTTTGAGGGATACACCCCAGTCCATGACATCTGTGTCATGATCAATAAAAAGAGGGCAGTCCTCCAGGAGACGGATTGCCATGGTGGTTTTGACAATGGACTTACGATTGTGAGGATGATGCAGAACTGGGAAGTGTTTCTGTTGGAACCAGGTCAACAGGTCCAGCACAACAACAACAAAGGAAGTCAAAGGGACAGAGGAGTATATATTTTGATATTCTTTTTATAGGAAAGTATAAAATAGGAAATCCCTTCTACAATGATAGAAGTCAGAATAAGGGTACTTCAGGGCTTCTGACAGTCCAGTAATCTTCTCGATTTGTGGGGTGAATTTAGCTGTTTGTGTTGTTTTGCAAAAATTCATTTAAGTGCTGCAACAGAATATTTGTGCATTCTCTTGAGCAATAAAAAGTTAGCACAAAATATTAAAAATATACATTTCTAAGACTGTAAGTACCAAGCAGGCTTGTTAGAAAATATGTTGCAAGCTCGTAAGAAAATGTGTTGCTTTAATAAATTGATATTTATTGAAGCAGATCAATTACTATTATTTGTCATTTTTCTGGTTTGCGCTAGTTTTTCTCTCACAAGTATGTATAGTTTCATCTTATATGGGCCATTTTCACTTGCCTGTTTTGCCCACTCTCAGCATTATAGGCAGCAAAACCCGTAGATACTTCTTTCATTGTTTTAAACAGAGAGTCTTTACCATACTTCCAGAACTTATGCTCACCAGTTTTGCTCCTGCTTTTGAATAGTTTCTTATCAATGACTAATATAGTTTATAATTCTATAATCAAGACCCACAAAAATAAAGTGAGAATCCCTTCTTTATGAGGAAACATGCTAGGTGATAAACATGGTAAGAAGAGTTGGAGACTCCTTTACTTGCCTGGGAATGATCCTATCCAGCCCTACCGCACCCACCACTCATCTCTGGCTACATTGCCACCATCACTTAAAAAAAAAAAAAGATATCTATTGCTTTATTTTCAAATGCTTCTTTGTGGAATATAAATGTTCATTTGGGTGTTTGTGTGTAAAGCTTACCATGGTCAATTGAGTTTCCAAGGGTCTGCACATTCTTCCTCTCTCCCCACGATTCCATGTGGATCA